TGTGAATGCTTGGCTAAAGAGATGTGTCTTTAATCTAGATTTAAAAAGAGAGCATGTGTCTGAACCCCGAACGTTATCAGGAAGGCTATTTAAAAACTTATGTTAGTATCAGAGATGTAGCTCTGGATTGGTTTATTTTTTATTTGTCAAATAGGTCTTTTTCCGTAGTGCTTGGAGATGCCTCCTCTTCTCGTGCTTCTTTATCTTGTGCGGTCCCTCAGGGATCTATTTTGGGTTCCTTTCTGTTTACTATCTACATGTTGCCCCTGGGTCAAATTATGCTCAGTTACGACATTGAGTTCCACTGCTATGCAGATGATACGCAGTTGTATGTCCCGCATTTCGGACCATAATAACTATGTAGGGTATAAATGTCATGCTTCGTCGAAATCAAAAATTGGATGTCGAAAAATGTTCTGCAGTTGAATGACTCCAAGTCTGAAGTGCTTATAATTACCCCATGCATCCCCAGTAGTGCTAATATTAATAATCTCTCCTCTGGGTGCCTTATCTAATAATGTTCGAAAAGAGGCTCGCAGCTTAGGTGTAGTTTTTGACTCAGAACTGTCCTTTGATGTTCAGGTGACTAAAGTGGTGCAGTCTTGTTTTGCACAACTGAGGCAACTAACGAAGATAAAGTCATTCCTTTCTTTGGCAGATTTGGAAAAGGTCATTCATGCTTTTATTTCTTCCAGACTTGATTATTTTAATGCACAATATTCTGGTATTAGCAAGAGACATCTCCAAAGATTGCAGCTGATTCAAAATGCTGCTGCTAGGCTTTTAACACATACTAAGAAAAGTGACAACATTACACCGATTCTTGCTGCTCTTCACTGGTCGCCTGTGAGTTTTAGAATTGATTTTAAGATTTTGTTGCTTATTTTTAAGGCCTTGAAGGGTCAGGCTCCTGCCTATATTTGTGATTTATTCATTTCTTTTGAGCCTGATCGCTGCTTGAGATCCTCCGGTGGGGGTCCTCTGGGGATATTAGGCAGGCTCCTACTGTATCCTCTTTTAATTCTCTTCTTAAGACTCTTTTTTATCATATGGCTTTTTCTTAATTTTGATGGTATTTTTTGTATTTTGTTACTGTACTGATCATTTTATTGTAAAGCACTTAACTTTGTTTTGAAAGGTGCTATATAAATAAATGTTTACTTACTATTCCAGAGTTTGGGAGCCAAATATGAAAAAAGATCTACCTCCTTTAGTGGGCTTTGTTATCCAAGGTTACTAAAATGTTCCTGTTAAATGTTCATTCAGTGACAAATTAACTTTTAAAAGTGCAAATAAGTGGTCTGTCAGTTAATATCATCATGTATCATGAATCATGAATAATAATTATAAAATGCTGAATTTTATTTTGTCTTCATAAACTTTTATTAAAATGTAAATATGACTTTCAGGGACCATTTCAGCTCATATTTAATATGCATGGGTAGTTGCTGAAAAATGTGTCCATGGAGTTTATTTATTAATGAGCACCAAGATTTTAGGTTAAAATGTACATGCATGTGTGTGTTTTAAGTCTGATCGCCTGTTTAAATGCTCCTTTAGTGACGAATGTATAATCATGCAAATAAATAGTCTGTGCATTAAAATGATGAATAATCATGAACCATAATTATAAAATGCTGTTTTATCTAATAGTTTAGTCTCGTTGCAGGACATGTCACTTTATGTAGAATATACTAGATGTAATTCAACATCTGAACGCTGCTTTTCCAGTGCATGTGTTTAAATCATTTTGCTGTAAAATTGATTATGAAGAGGCTAGTTGTGCTTTAACGTGTACGGAGTGGAAAGACCTGCATGCAGCAGAGTCTGACGTCTGTGTGTCGCCACTGCTGGGTTTTTGCTGGTCGGTGAGGCATTTGGCGAAGTCTTTGAGACGTGGAGAGGGATCTACTGTCAGACACTTGTTAAACACGCAGTTGGGCGTTAGGCTGTAAAATCAATTCCACTCTCAGCCCACACACACTCACACACTCACACACTCACACACTCACACTCTCACACACACACACACACACACACACACACACACACACACACACACACACACCCACAC